TGAGGAAGACGGCCCTGGGCTAACATCCGTGCCCATCTTCCTCCACTTTATATGGGACGCCGCCACAGCATGGCTTGCCAGCAGTGCGTCGGTGCGCGCCCGGGATCCGAACCAGCGAACCCCGGGCCACCACAGCGGAGCGTACGCACTTAACCGCTTGCGCCACCGGGCCGGCCCCTATCCCCCTCTTTTTGCTAAGGAAGATAGGCCCTGTGCCCATCTTCCTCCACTTTTTTATATGGGACGCCGCCACAGCATGGCTTGACAAGCGGTGCGTCACTGTGCACCTGGGATCCGAACCTGTGAACCCTGGGCTGCCAAAACGGAGCATGTGCACTTAACTGCTATGTCATCGGGCCGGCCCCTCCTCTTCTCTCTTTTCAAGCAGACTGTATGCATGCATTGCTTGTAAAATTTAGAATTATTAACTTTAAAACGGAGGAACAAGAAAGATATGTGACATCCCAGGAACTTGTTACTATTTATTGAGCATCTATCCACCAATGGAACACAATCTCTGGCCTCAGGAGCCCCAGATTAGAGATGGTAAGGATCTGAGAAAGTTGCCACCTCCTCCAGGAAGCCCTCCTGATTATTCCAGCCCTGGTTGGGTGGGGAGGGGATCCTACCTCTGGATTCCTACCGCACCTCTAGCTTGACCTGTGTGTTGAAGGCCAGACCATGCTCTGTCCAAGGCTCTGCTCTGACAATTCCTCTGTACCCTTCTGTTCTTCCAACTGGATAGGTGGCTCCAAGGTTTCCTAAGCCTGGGGCTCAGGGTTCTGTTGGATTGAACTGAAAGACATCCCTTTGTGTTTGATCAGATCTCAGAAAAAAAAAACCCGCCTATTTTGGAGCAGCCTTCCCAAGCATTCTGACCCTCTTTGCACAGAAGAGGCCAGGGAGCCCAGAGAGGTTACTTCCTTGTCCCAAGTAGCACAGCATGTCTACGATGACTCGCTAATTGATGAGCCACGATTGGGGTGAGAGGGAAGATGCAGCAGCATCTGCGTAGAGGAGGAAATCTCAGCTGTGAAGGCCCTGCCATCTCAGCCATGGGCAGAGGCAGGGAGGGAGATCATTCAGAATCTGAGGAGTGAGCCAGAAAAATTGCTTCTGTGGGTATTTATAATTAGAAGTTTCCAGACCAGCCCTGTGGCTTAGCAGTTAAGTGCGTGCGCTCTGCTACTGGTGGCCTGGGTTCGGATCCCCGGGCACACACTGACGCACCGCTTCTCCGGCCATGCTGAGGCCGCGTCCCACATACAGCAACTAGAAGGATATGCAGCTGTGACATACAACTATCTACTGGGGCTTTGGGGGAAAAATAAATAAATAAATAAAATCTTAAAATAAGTACAGGTTACATTGCTGGTAGGAATGCAAAATGGTATAGCCACTGTGGAAAAGTTTGGTGTTTCCTCCAAAAGTTAAATACAGAAAAACCACATGACCCAGCAATTCCACTGCTAGGTACATGTACCTAAGAGAAATGAAAACAGGTGTTCAAACAAATATATGAATAGGCATGTTCATAGCAGCACCATTTAAAAAAGCCAAATAGTGGCACAATGGCCAAAAGGTGGAAACAGCCCAAACGTCCAACAGATGAATGATAGATCCACATGATGGAATATTATTCAGCCGTAAAAAGGAACGAAGTACTGATACATGCTATGACGTGGATGAACCTCAGAATCACGCTAAGTGAAAGAAACCAGGCACAAAAGGTCACATATTGTATGATTCCATTGATGTGAAATGTCAAGAATAGATGAATCCGTAGAGACAGAAAGCAGGTTGGTGGTTCTCAGGGACTTGGGGTGGGGGAGGAGGGAAAGGGGAGTAACTGCTTAATAGGTACAGGGTTTCCTTTTGGGGTTATGACAACGTTTTGGTGCTAGATAGTGGTGATGGTTGCACCCATATTGAGATATTGAGAATGTACTAAATGCCATTGAATTGTTCACTTTAAAACGGTTATTATTATTTTTTTTTAGTGAGGAAGATTGGCCCTGAGCTAACATCTGGGCCCATCTTCCTCTATTTTGTATGTGGGTCACCGCCACAGCATGACCTGACGAGCAGTGTCTAGGTCCACACCGGGAATCCGAATCCATGGACCCTGGGCCACTGAAGTGGGGCACAAACTTAACCACTACGCCACTGGGCCGGCCCCTAAAATGGTTAATTTTATGTTACATGAATCTCACATCAGTTTAAAAAATAAAATAAAATAAACATAGACGTTATAAAACAATGCAAAACTTGCATGAACTTTTGAAAAAGGCAGCCGTCAAGGAGGCTCTGCCCTCCCCTCTGCTGCTGATGGGGATTCTCAGAGAAGTGCTGCAAGGACGGCCCTAAAGGAGGCGGGGTTTTGGTGAGGACACACAGGGATGGAGGGAGCTGGAAGTCCAGTGGGCTGCCCAGGCTGGCGTCTTGGGGCCTAGAAGACAGCCTCGAGGGATCCAGGAGGAGGTCCAGGGCACACCCATGGTGGGTGGTGGGGGTGGGGGTGCTCTCGGGAGCAGCAGCCCCCACTTCCTCCTCCTGTTCCCACCCCCAGGGACTTGGCTCCTCTTGGCTGCTGTGACTCCAGCCACCCTGACTGTCCACTGCTTTGGTTTCTCCTGACCCCTCCCTGTCTTTAGGCTTCTTCTTTCCACGGCTTCTGCCTCCTGCCTTCTCAGTTGTGGATCCCTCTCCTGGACCTGTGCGTGTCTGAGCATCCGTGCCCCTGGAGGATGATCTCGTGCCCTCAGAGCACCCCATCACCCTGCTGGTGCTGTCTTCCTCACTGCTGTCAGGAAGCGTTCCTGCCTTCACCAACCCTGCTCTGACAAATCTCCTCTCCTTTCAGTGATGGGAAATGGGACTGTGACTTGTTTCGCACATCCCCAGAGGGGAGAGGTCTTGCTACTAACTCAGAAGGCAGAACTGAGTCACTTGAACAGAGATGGGCACTGGGAGAGCTCCTTCTCCCCCCAAGCAGACTTGGTGCCCCTCCTCTGGGTGGAGAAGCCTCTTCTGCGGCCCACTGTGGAGTCCTCAGGGAAGCCATAAGGAACCCAGGCTTGCACGCCCTTGAAATTAACCATTTATATCAGCCCACTTTACAGTAAGGGAGCTGAGCCCTGGAGAGAGAGAGACGACTATCTGGGGGACAGGACGAGTTGCCAGCAGAGCCGCACCCGGGACCAGTTCAGCTTCCAATACCCCGCAGCCAGCAAACCCCAGATACCGTCTAATAACCGCACGCATCGCGCCCTCCCAGGGGCCCTGAAGCTCACGTATCTCGATCCGGGAGGTGCTGACATCCCCATTCTAGAGGAGGAGCCGAGACTTGAGGGCAGCCGCCCGGGTGTTCCGACAGCCCCGGTTTTCTTAGCTCTCAGCACATTCGCTTTGACTGAAAATTAGTCCCCTGTCCCCAACCCTAGAGGAACTCTCAAATGACACTGACTCATTCATTCATCTCGCTCATTCATTCTGTAAGTCTTTATTGAACTCGAATCTTGGGAAGACTTTATGACACGTTTTCCTGCAGTGGGACCAACATGCCCCGTTTCACCCTGGGTGGGGTCCAGGTATGAACACTGGCTGCCAGCAGACCCCTGGGCAAGGCCCCGGCGAGAATGCTGTGGCCCCGGAGCGCGGCGGCTCAGTCCTGGAGCGTGCTGGCATACACCTCGGCCCTGTCCAGGGGCGGCCCCCGGTTCACAGACGTGTACGAAGCCTCAGAGCTCCCCAGGGACTTGGGGACGGCCTCCTGCGAGATCTGCGAGTTGTGCGTGGTTTCTCCGTCAGAACCGCCCACGTCCCTGACGTGGGGAGGAAGAGAGCTGGGGTTAGGGGTGCAGGGCAAGCCCAAACCACTCGAGCTGGTCGGGAACCTCTCTACTTAGACACTGCTGTCACAGACGTCGTCTTAGGCATTCATTCCATAGACCAGTCTTTCCAGAGCACTTACTGTGTACCAGGCCCTGGGATAAGGAAAGGGTCACCATTTGGAACTACGTGAACAAACAATTTACAGGTCTTACCAAGAGCTGGATACTCAGAGGCCATTGTCCCATGTCCCCAAAGAGCTAAGGAGACAGACCACAGCCGACAATGACCAGACAAAATGGACAAGTCCAGGTGGGAGCTACAGGAAGGCTTCCTGGAGGAGGAGGCAGTTAATCTGGCTCTACAGGAGGAGAGTGAGGGCAGAGAAAGGCATTCCTTGTATTTGATAGAAAGGGCGGGGGAGCGTCTGGGACAACAGCGGGAAGTTTGGCCCAGCTGGAGCAGGAATAGGGATGGCGGGAGGGATAACAGAAGAGCCAGGCTGAAGTCAGACAAGAGGACCTAGGTGCTGGATGAGGGCGCTGCCTGAAGGGAGGGAGGGACACAACCAGGTCCTGACTGCTCCCAGCTCTGGCCAGACAGACCAGTCTCTTGGCATCTAATCTCATCTATCACTTGTTTTTATTACCTGAAGTGTCAGTGGGCAACCCGAGTTCCAGGTTCACTGCCCCCACTCCATCCCCCACCCACCCCATACATCTTTTCCTGCCTGCCTAATTTCTACAGGAGCCACTTAGTTTCATCTACTCCAAAAGCTTTTCCATCTGCTCTCCTCACTCGCACTGGGACAGCACCCTCTTCATCCTCAAAGGCCCCTGGGGCTCCCTCCTTGTCACTGAGAAGCACACTGCATGTGACTTTTTGATTCATCCCTGTCCTGATGAGAATTCACGCCTGCTGTTCCTTCCTCCAGGAAGCCCACCCTGATGCTCGAGGCAGGATCTGTCCTGCCCTCCTCTGGATTCCCACAGCACCTGTAGGTGCCTTGATTCACCCCCTGGTTGATCCTCCCAGGATTAGGGGATTGTGTGCACGCCTGTCCTCCCCCGAGACAGTCCCGTTAGCTGCTCCAGACACCTCCCGGGAGACCTCGAGTCCTAGTCCAGATAGACACAAATCAGAGCTGTCAGTGAGTCAGGAGCCCAGGGCTCTCGCCCCAGCTCTGTTTTAACTGGCTGTGTGACCTTGGGCCATCCTTCCCCCCTCAGGCCTCAGTTTCCCCACCTGTACTGCAAGTGGGTGAATGATAATGACAACAAAAGCTAACACTTGTTGAGTATCCGAGTTGTGCCCTGACAACTCTACAGGGATCATTTCACTTAACCTTCACAACTCCACGGGGTGGATAGTATTTATTAGTATCTCCATCTTCCAGAGGAGGAAACTGAGGCACGGCAGGATAAGACACCTGCCCAAGGTTGCACAGCTGTGAGTGTCAGCCCCGGGGTCTGCCCACGAAGCCCGGTGGTGAACCCCTCTCGACCCAGCTGAAGGACCTGACCTTGGACACCCCAGGACCCTGCTCCCCTCTCGCGGGACCCCACCCTACCCAGGAAGGAAGGCAGCTCCCTTGCCTCCTGGGCTCTCCCCTGCCTCGGAAGACCCTCCCGGTGGAGCGTGCCCAGTGTGTCCCCTAGTCCTGCCCTCCAGCTGGCGGGTACTCACATGAGACTGAGGACAATGGCACCAGCAAAGGCCACAAGCAGGAAGAAGGGCAGGGAGCCCAGGATGGACGTGATGACGATCATGCCCCCACTCCGCCGGCCCGGCCACGTGTCGATCGTCGAGTATGGGGTGACTAGCAAGACGCAGGCCCATTTACTCCCCAGACACTGCACCCCTCAGCCTTCTCCCAGGGATGCACAGGGGTCCCCCCTGCCCTAGTGGCCATGAGTCTCAGGGAGGAAGCGGGGACCCAGTTTGGTGATATTTCCCTCAAGTGTGAAGGGCAATGACCTCACTTACCCCCACATCCCACTTCTCAACTTTTGCTTGTGTGTGTCTGCTTGCTTCCTCTTTTAAGTGTCTTTTTGCATAATTTTACATTAAAAACTGACTCAAGTCATCCAGTGAGGTGGATGGGATACAGATTATAAACAATTAAAATAAAGGTGAAGCCAAGGACCCGGGTCTCACGGAGCCAGGTGGACAGTGCCTCCCTCTGCTCTGGCCCGTGTCACCTTTTTGTTTTGTTTTTTTGTTTGTTTTTTGTGAGGAGATCAGCCCTGTGCTAACATCTGCCAATCTTCCTCTTTTTTTTTTTTTTTTTGCTGAGGAAGACTGGCCCTGGGCTAACATCCATGCCCATCTTCCTCTACTTTACATGGGACGCCGCCACAGCATGGCTTGCCAAGTGGTGCGTCGGTGCGCGCCTGGGATCCGAACCGGCGAACCCCAGGCCGCGGCAGCGGAGCGCGCACACTTAACTGCTTGCGCCACTAGGCCGGCCCCAGGTGTCACCCTTTTAGAACTAAGCGAACAAACATTTATAGCTCCAACCTTGAGCCGGCCGCTTTCCGGCCATTGTCCGTGTCGATCCCACGAGACCCCCGTCCTGCAGATCGCCCACTGCAGCTTAGGGGGATTGAGTTCCTGTTCAAGGGCACCAGACTCCAGACTCAGTTCCCAAAGGGCACGCTGTCCCCACAGACCCACCTTCAGGCCCTGCCCCGAGAGAGCTGGGCCGAGTGCTGCTGTCTGGATTACTCAAAGGAACCCCACCGGGGAGGCAGTGCAAGGATTCCTCTTCCCACTCCTCAGATGTAGACTGAGGTCCTGAAGGCTCACACAGCAGTGAGGCCCGAGGCTGGGCTTGAACTCAAGACCCTCAGGTCCTGGGGCAGAGCTGTCCCAGTGGGATCGCAATGCATGGGAATGCCACAGGAGGGGCGGGCGCGGAGCGAGGGTGGGAAGGAGCCACCCCAGCCACACACCCACCGGTCTATACCCCTCGCTAGCTGTGTGACCCCAGGCAGCCTTTCAGAGCCACTAATTGGCCCATAAGGTTACTGTGGGGTGGCAGGAGGCTCTACAGGAAAAATATTTCGCTCCATGCTGGGCCCATCTTGGGTACCAGTGCCTTATCCTGGGGGCTGAGGTGTGGTGGGAGAGGAGTTCTCAAGTTAGGTCACATGCCATCAAAATTACCCTCGGAAATCGCTTCCGTTGCCCCTACGGTTCAGCAGACATGGCTCTGTGTGTATAAACCTCGGATCTGTGTTGAGAACTTGGATGGAGGCTCGAGGAATGGACAGGGCAGGACCACAGGCAGACGCCTGGGTCTCCCAGCCTCTCGTCTTTAGGAAAACCATCCAGGCTCCACAGGAGAAGGGGCGGGGGGTGGAGAGGTGGGCAGCACTCCTGCTGCCTCCAGGGTTCACACCCCTGCGGCTAAGTCTTAGCCTCCGGAACCTTCTCACATGGTAGTGAGGTTTGTGGTTGTGAGAATTCAACAAAGGGGCTGGTTGGGGTCTAAATGCGGGATAAAAGGGTGGGCTGACTTCGACTTTAGTTGCCATCCCCCCAACCCCTGGCCAAACACCCAGAGAATCCTCCACCTTCCTCTCTCACAGCACGGGGCCCTCGAGGAAGGGAGGGAGGGAGGATGAAGTTGAAGGGTAAACTATTTTAAGATGTGTTTCCTTCCCCAACCCAATGAAAGTGTGGGTCTGCTTTCTCAGGGTCCCTCGAGGAGCACCCCCAGCCCACCCCACCACTTACGCCACTTGGTACGGATGGGGTCCGACCACAGGGTCTGGTCCTGTACTAAGCCCGTGGACATATTGACAAGGACGTACTTGAACCTGGAAGGAGACAAGCAAGGATGACTTCTATCCATCCTGTGAGCCCAGGGAGGTGGGAAGGACTAAGATGGCCGGGGTCGGGGGAAGAGGGGGATTTGTAGGGGATGGAAATCTTGGCGGCCACAGGGTGGGCTCTGGGAAACAGGATGGTGCTGGACTTCGCATCAGCACCTTTGCCACATATTACTGCCCCAGACCCTTTCCCCAGCTCAGATGCCACCTCCTCCAGGAAGCCTTCGGTCAGTGGCCCTCCTCTAGGCTCTCCCTCTGGGAGCCCCCTGTTTCTCTATTAGATATATGGCGTGCGTAGCATGTCTGCTGAGCATTGAGCCATTTGTCTACCTTTCATTTTGGCCTTCCACTATTCCTTGCCTGGTTCTTGGTATCACAAAAGAGACTTAAAAAAAAAAAAAAAGAAATAATAGTCATTCCCAACCCACTGCCCTGGGATAAGGGCTACATTTTATGTGCAGAAAACTCCACTCAAGTGTTATAATTCATAAAGGAAGATCAGGCGATACAGTACAAAACACCCACGGCCTGCCTACGGTCAGCTTAAAACGATGCATGTTCTGAGAACTAAGAAATCAACAGCCACTAGTTTAAAACACAAAAAATGAAGACCCTTAAAATCTCTGTAGCCTCCAGTGTTTTGCATAATCCTCTACTTCCCTAGGTTGGAGGATGAGAATTCGAGGCTGAGACACCTACGTCCTGGTCCTGTATTCCCGACGCAGGATGGGCTTTGAGATCAAGGAGGAGAGAGGTTGTCTCATGTTAAGAACAAGCTCGGAGGTAAGTGTTGAGGGTGGGGAAGAGGAAACCAAGGACTCGTGTCCTGCCTGGTGGCTGAGGCCAAGGAAGGGGCAAATTCGCCGAGAGGACGGCAGGGAAGTGATGGCCTGGGCCCCAAAAGCAGCCTAGAAGGTACAGACGCCCCTACCCAGGCGTCTCCATGGTAATGAGAGTGGGTGTAACCGAGGCTTGGGCACCGGGTAAGACCCCCTGGCCAGTGGTCAGGGCTGAGCCCCGAGCTCTGCACAGAGAAGACACTCAGGAAGAACGTGTGGACATGAATGAGGGACCCGCTAACAAAAGGGTGCGGGAAGGAGGTGGGAAAAAGCAGAGGATCGAGTGGTGGCTGGAAAAGCCTTCAAGGGGGCTGTAGATCATGCTGGACTCCAGGTTTTCTGGAGGAGAGGCTCTTCCCCCTCCGGACCACAGTTCCCTTCCCTGTCCAATGAAAGGGGTCGGGTCGGGGACTGCCACCCTGCGTCACACGGGTGATGAGACAGGACCAGGTGCACAATTTGTGGGGCCAGTGCAAAAGGAAAATGTGGGGCCCTTGTTAAAAACTTCATAATTTCAAGATGGCAATGGCAGAGCGTTAAGCCAAGTAGGGGCCTTTTGAGCACAGGGCCCTGTGCAAGGTCGCATACCCAGGAAGCCCTTTACCGGACCCGGGATGGTCCTGGCATGTAGGAGGCTCTTGTGAAATGTGGCCTCTCACATGTCACGGGCTCCGGGTCCTCCTGAGTCGGGGCTGGGGGCTGCTCACACCCACCTGTATTCCGTGGCTCCTGACAGGGGCGGGTTGCAGAGGCCCCGGAAGTTGGGGTCAGACAGGCAGGTTCTGTTGGCGCCCACCCTGATCAGGTATGTGTTCAGGATCTCCGAGGCCCGGGACACATCCTGGGTGGCATCCAAGCTGGGCAGGTCGCTGCAGGGGGTCAGGTCAAAGGCCGAGGCCTTGTAGGGGCCTGTCCTCCCTCCGTCCGTTTGCTGGAACGTCGAGCTCAGCGGGGTCTTGGTGCTGTCCTGCACGGAGGCATTCCTGGAGCTGGCTGTAGAGGCAGTGCGGGGAGTGAGGTTCCTGGCCACCCCAGCTCAGTCACTCACTCGGTCATTCATCAAACGCCCCTGAGCAGCCTCTCTGCGCCAGGGCTGTGCTGGGCCCTGGGGTCACAGGCATGGAGCAGGCTCAGGCCCTGCCCTCAAGGGCTCCCTGTGCAATGGAGGAGACGGATAGGAGCACCCCTCTGCTTCCGGCACTGTGTGCAGCTCCCACCCACCTCATCCTGTTACAGTCTTATAATCCTCCCTCCCCACAGACTTCTGTCTCTTCCTCACTGAAAGCCCTGGATTCTCTTCTGTAAAACGGGAAAGGGGGGTCATATGGTACAGGGGAAATAGTGTGGGGACAGACAGACCTACGTTGGGTCCTAGGTCTCTCCCTTACTAGGTGGGTGATCTGGGACCACTCACTTTACCTCTCTGGACCCTGGTCTGTGAAATGAGAGAAAAATACCCTGCAGTGCCCACAGATTGGGCACAGGTAGGCTGTCAATAGATGTTTGCTGAAAGAATAAAACAATGACCCTAAGTGGCTGTTGTAAATGACTGGTTCCTAGAAATGTAAGAGGTTGTCACTGGGTTCCTTCTCTCAGAAGCCCAGGATAGCTGCCAGTGAATGGTTGGAGGCTGGGCTAGAGCCAGCAGGTCCCAATGCTTGGCTTCCCTGGAAAACACCGATCCTGAACTACCTCAGGAGTCCTCGGGCAGGACTTGGGCTTGAGCACCAGAGAGTCTGGATTCGCTCTCCAGCTCCGGGAGCTCCAGTGAATTATTCCATCTCTTGATTCTCTGCTCCGTGTTGAGCATCATAAGCTACTTGCAGGATGGTTGTAAATAGTAGCTCTAAGGTGTGCCGAGCACCCAGCATGATGTCGGTACTCACTGATTGGTGCTGCTATTATTTCCCCAACAAGACCGATGTCCCTCCAGGACAAGGACATGTCTGTGACTGCAGCGCCCAGCTTGGGGCTGGCACAGAGCAGACACCAGTGCATGCTAGTGAGGCGCATGGGGTAGTTTAGTTACAGGGACGGAGCATCCCTCTACCTGCCTCCTTCCCTCCTCTCTGCAGACAGGTCCAAGCCCCTTTCAGCAGAGCCGGAGGGAAGCAGGCCCCTTACCCGAGTCAACCAGGACGTAGAGGTAGACCTCGTAGGCGCCATGGAGGGCCGCTGAGCTGTCAAACACACACACAGGCTTTTCCAAGGCCACCGTGGTGAGGGTGGGGTTGTTGGTGGCAAAGGTCACGCTGGCCAGTTGGGGCTGGAGGTTCACGCCTGGTGGAGGCAATGAAGACAGGAGCTGACCCCCGGCAGAACCGTCCACACCCAGGGGCACCCTCTGCCCTCCCCTCCAACACCCACACACCCACACCCACACACACACACACACACACACACACGTGTGCACACACACACGCCCACATGCAGTTCCTGAGCACCTGCTGTGTGGTAAGCACTGGCTTTCACCCTCCCCCCCACCCCAAGCATCTCAGGAACCTGTCTCAGAGGAGCAGGACCCCTGCCCCCACCCCGGCATCCTGGCCAGAAACCGGGCAGTCCAGCTGAACTGCTGCCCTCTCTCTCCCCGCCCCCTGCAGACATTCAGTCGCCAAGAACCCCATTGCCCCTCCCAAGCATCTCTCCACCCCTCAGCCCAGTCTGGGAATCCCACCCTCTTCACCTGGACCCTAGTGACAAGCCCTGCCCCCATCCTCTGCTCTCTAACATGCTCTCTAACCTGCTATCTAATCTGACCACGTCACTCTCCTGGTAGGCCCCTTCTGCGGCTCCCCACTGCCCTCTAACACAGTCCAGCCTCTCTGGAGGGGCTGAAGTTCTGGGCTTTGCTTTGTTGGGTGTCCAGCCTCACTTCTGTGTGCACCCCCTCACCCCATGCTCCAGCCACACCAATGGACAATGAACAGGAGGTTCCCAGGAGAGACTACGCCTCCCACCTCCTCCCTGAACTTGTCCGTGCTGCTCCTTCACCTGAAATGTCCCTCCATCTCCCCGGTCTGGGCATCACCACGAGTCCAGTCAGTCCCTTCTCTGCTCTCCCACAGCCCCTGTGTGTCTGTCCCTTGCAGCACCCATCACAGGGCTCTGCAATCCCTGAGCCATGGACTCCCCACCAAAGGAAGCTTATTAATCAGTATTGGCTATTAGAATATCTGGGTCCCCAGCTCCTGTACAGGACCTGGCACAGAGCAGGCATCCGTGCCAATTCCCGGAGTGAATAAATGAAGTTCTCATTCCCAACGCCACTCCCCACCCAGGCTCCTCTCAGGACTCCTCCGGAGGGTCAGGGCGCAGGACACCCCCACAGGACACAGCTGCCCGCCCTCCCTGGGCACGGCCCCCTCCTCTCATCACTCGCTTACCCGAGCCCAGACGCAGGCAGCCGAGGGCCAGCAGGGCCCAGAGCGGAGGCATCGCCCGGGACGAGCCGAGGCAGCGCGGCGCGGAAGGTCCAGCAGGCGACCATGCACCACGCCTCTCCCGCCGCGCGCACCTGCCGGCCCAGGGCCCTCGGCGCCCAGCGCCCCGCCCCCGCCCCGCCCGCGCCGGCCAATCCTCGACCTCCTCGTGGGCTATTTGCATACGCCCCGCCCCGGGCTCCCCAGGCCGCGAGGTGCCCAGCAAATCCATCCCACTGGACCTTCCCTGCTCCCTTACCAAAGCGCCGACTTAGGCCAGGGCGGTTCTTTCAGGGAGTCTCTGCCTAATGAGACCTTGAGGGGCAAGCCACTCCCTCTTTAAGCCTCAGTTTCCATACTGTAAATTGAGGATGCTAATTCCCACAATATTTATGGAGAACCTACTATGTGCCAGACACTCACTGGGCCCTTGTGAAGATGAAACGTGCTGTCATGGAAACCTTGGAGTCCTGGGTCTGTGCACTGTCCGGAGACCTCTGGTGTCACCCTTTCAGTTCACAGGTGCAAGGCCAGGGCCCAGGGAGACCAGGGACTCACTAAGGCCACACATGACCTCTTTGGAAATGCCGAGGCTGATGGACCTCAGGAGTCCTGCTTCCCAGCCCAGGGCTGTTTCAAAAGGGATGGGACTGGGATTTAAGGCCTGCTTCCTGGGGGAGCGTTTGAAAACAGTGTTGGGGGCTTCACCCGACCTAGATGGCTCCTCTCAGCATCAGGAATCTGCACATCTCTGAGTGTACTGCAAATAGATTTTATATTTAAGACATAAAAGGAAGTCAACAGGGGTGGGGGAAAACTAAAATTGGAAACCAACAGAAACTAACAGACAAATCTGTGTATGACATTATTGACATAACCACATGCAGAAGAAGAGAAGAAAAAGAAAGACTATATGTGAGAGATTTTGGAGCGGGCTCGTCTGACTACTCCTTGGGTGCAGAATACTCCAGAGACTGTAAGAGAACCCTGGTCCTCACTAGTGAGGCAGTGAGGGAGGGCAATTCTGAAGTGACTGTGAGGGTACCCTAGGACTGAGGTTCTCGCTATAGCGTGAGGGAGATTTGGAATGGAGAAAGCAGAAGAATAACGCTATGGTGTTTTAAATTAGTATCATTATGAAAAAATAACAATTTCCTAGCTCTGTCCACTGAAAGGGCCTAGAAGCAATGACATCGGTTGCAAGGAGCTCACCTAGCTCTCTTGGATTCGAAACACCATTTCCCAGTAAAAGGCACCAGGGCCCCTTGGGGACATGGCAACTCCAGGGTGGGGACAGGGAAAGTCAAGAGGAGCTTAGGAAGTAAAGAAGTGCTCCAAGAATGACGGGGCTGTGTCAAAGGTGCTGGCACAGAAGGGGCTTGAAGGGGCTTCCCATGGCCAGATGGGGAAAATTTGAGAACAAAATAAATAATGAAAGTAACAATTTTAGCCCATTAGATAAAATGCAAATCCAAGAGTCAATACTGATACTTTAAAAAATGTTTTAAAAGAAAAGGGAAAATTTTTCTTTAAAGAAGAACACCAACTAATAAACAGAGAAGGAATGGCCAAACAAAAAAGCATCATTTTACATCTAGATCCTGGTCATAATTGATTCAAGAAAGAATCATCTCAATGGATGCTAAAATCATAGAGTGAAGGATTTTTAGGGAATGAGGTATGCAGAAATCTGAGGACACAAACTTAGTCAAACAATCAACCTAACATCACGGATAATGGGACAGACTGACCTCATGTGCTTCCTGGTGTCATGGCTCTAAGAAGGGCTCATGTCATCTATGTAGTATTCCCATCTAAAAAGTTCAACCTGAATCTAATCAACAGGAAATAATCAGAAACATCCCAACTGAGGGACTTGCTGCAAACCAACTAGTCTGGAAGCTTTGAAAATGTTAATATCATGAGAGACAAAGGCAAAAACAAAACAAAACGAAAGGCTGAGACCTGTTGTAGATTGAAGGTGACATAATAGCTCAATGTACCAAGCGACCCTTGATTAATTTTGGATAAAAGCAAATAACCTATCCTGAACACTATTATACTTAGTATGACAATGAGAGAAGTTTGAATTTTACTGTGTATATTAGATAATAATATTGATTAGACATTGAATTTCCTGACCACGATCATTGTATTGTATTGTGGTTACGTAGAAGGAAATACATGCTGGAGTATTGTGGGTGAAGTGTCATGATATCTGACACTAACACACACACACACACACACACACACAAAGTATATATGGAGTGAGGGAGAGATAGTAAAAGATAAAGTAAATGTGGGGCCTGCCCGGTGGTGTAGTGATTGGGTTCACATGCTCCACTTCGATGGCCTGGGGTTCTTGGGTTCAGATCCCAGGCGTGGACCTACACACTGATCATCATTCCATGCTGTGGTGGCGTCCCACATACAAAATAGAGGAAGATTGGCACAGATGTTAGCTCAGGGCCAATCTTCCTCACCAAAAGAAAAAAGAAAAAGCTAATGTAGCATAACATTAACAGTTGGTAAATATGGGTATTCATTGTACTCTTCTTGAAATGTTTCTATAGATTTGAAATTTTTCAAAGTAAAAATATTGGGAGAAAGAGTCTATGCTCAGCCACAAATGTACTGTTTCCTCTCTCTGTGCCTCAGTTTCCCCTCTGTAAAATGGGGAGGAGGTTTGGTGGCCTCTCAGTGCTGACATGCCAAGAGTAGATGATCAGATCCTTATCTCTAGGGAACAAAAATGCCCTGGAGATAAGGAATTCTTGACCAAGAGGTGGGGTTTTCCTCCAAGAATTTTTATGAACTGACACATCTTGTTCAAGTTCAATGAATGTTTGTGAACCTAGGGTTTATCAGAGGCAGCAAAGTTGATCTTGAAGGCTCAGCCCAGAATCACCCATGAGAGGGAGAAGGCCCAGGAAGTCGTTGTCTTCTCCAAGACACTGTGGTTTCTCATGAAAAAGCAAAAAAAAAAAAAAGTCCTCTAGTCTCTTGCCTTGCCCAAATATGGAGAGAACATTTGGGGGAAAAGTTAAAATAATAATCTGCTAAGGCCCAAAAATGTTCTGCAAAAAAAAAAAAAAAAAAAAGCCTTGGGTTTATAAACAAGTCTCCACTTCAAAGATGCTGTCTTTCTTTTGGCATATTCTGGGGAGGGGAGAAGTGCAGGCGATGAGTCACTGTGGCAAATTCTCTTGGGAAACACCCATGCTGGTGTCCAAGGAGGGAAACTGGGGTGAAGAAGAGGCCCTGACACCTGCCAATGTCCCCAGGCTGCGGCCCAATCCCCATGCGGACATTCCAAAAAAAATTTTTGCAAAAAAATATTTTTTACATTTCCCCTTTTTGATCAGACACATTCCAGGGCGCTGAGCTTCGGTCTGACTTTGGATCTGTTTATATATCTCAATCCATCAGCCCGTCTGTCTGAACCCTGGCCCAGCCCGCCGTGCTTGTCCTGAGGTCACAAAGCAGGAAGTTCTGTGAAGTGAAAGGTTATGCAAACCCCAGCCCCACACAGGCCTCCTCTGAATTCGAAACCCGGGGAATTTATGGGTTGGAAATTCTTGACCCAGAAATGTTTCTCCAAGCTCCCGAGTGGCCTGAACCGGTTTCCACGGCTCTCTTCTTTAGAAGTCAAAGTTGTGAGTAATCTTCCCACAGCAGCACTGGCTTTCAGAGTTTCCTACATCCGAGATATCCTGGAAGCCAAACTTTTCAACGCGTTGAAATTCAGTCACTTAAAACAAAATGAAACAAAACAAAACACAAGCAGAGAAAACCAAACCCCCGGCCGTGGGGAGCTCACGCATCTGCTCTCGGCTCCAAGTTGCTCTGCGTACCCCGACATCTCTCCCGAGCTCCAGCCACTCGTCCTGCAGAACTTCCCCACCTTGGTAGGTCCTTCTGGACCCCGGCTCTGGTTCTGTCTGGGGTCCCTGCTCCTTTCCAAAGCCTTAGTTTCTTTTTCAGTAAAGTGAGGATACTCCACGTGCCCCCTTGCAGGGCAGTGGCATGAAGTGTGGTGGTGGGGTGAACGTGCTCGTGACTGGGGTGCTGGGCAGTGTTGGGGGTTACAAATATCTCTCCATCGCCCTCTGCTGGGCCCCATCAGGCTTGTCCTACTTTTCCCGGCCATCACAGTGCTCCCTGCCAGTCCCTTCTCACGTAGAATGCAACCTCCCTCAACAGATATTCACGGAGTGCCTGCTGTGTGCTGGGCACACTCGTCCCTAAGTGACTCACATCCATCTCTTCCTTTTGGGTCCCGCCACCGCCGCCTGACACATGGTATCAGTTTGCTAAGGCTCCTGTAACAAATTCCACAGACTGGGGGGCTGGAACCACAGAACCTTAGTTCCTCATGTCCTGGAGCCCAGAAATCCAAGATCAAGGTGTGGGCAGGGCTGGTTCTTTCTGAGCCTCTCTTGTTGGCTTGCAGACGGCCGTCTTCTCCCAGTGTCCCGACATGGTCGTCCCTCTGTGTGTGTCTGTGTCCTAATCTCCTCTTCGTACGAGGACATAAGTCACAGTGGATTAGGGCCCATCCTAATGACCTCATTTAACCTTAATCACCTCTTTAAAGGTCCTGTGTCCAAATACAGTCACATTCTGAGGTTAGGACTGGGGTTAGGACTTCCAGATATGGATTTGGGGGGACACAATTCACCCATAACACACATAGTTCGTTCTCTCCATGCCTTTTTGCCTGAACTAATAACATAACAACAATAGTCCCCATGTGTCAGGGACTGTGCTCAGCATTTTAAACACGTTAACCCATTGATCACATCCAGTCTGGGAGGCAGGTACAATTGTTACTTCCACTTTACAGATGAGGAAACTGAGGCTCAAAGAGGTTGAGGAACTGCCCGTGAGAACGTAAGCTCTGTCCAGGCAGGAACGTGTCTCTAACCCCAGCACCCAGCACGGGGCCTGACATGTTATGCTGGACAGACAGACATGCCCAGTGCCCACTCCCAACCCCACCCCAGTAGGAAGTAGGGAGGCGGATTATAAGCCGAGGACATGGGACCCCAGCGTCCAAGCCCTAACCACTATGCAGACCTGTCCCTTCCTTGGTCTTCTCATC